TTTTTTCTTCTCAATAGAGAAACTTAATTAAAAATCATGGGAGAGCATAAAGAGACTAGTATGTTAGCTCTGGAATCTTTTTTCACAGAATGAAAAAAACCAGGAGAGACCCCTGAGCACGAACACATCAAGAAACTGAGTCCTAAAGTAACTGTGTTAAGATAATGTACGGGGGTGAGGGCAGACTGGGATTTAGTTCTTTCTTCTGAGACAAGCTACTTCTGGATGTGAAGTGCTCATCACACTTGAAGGACTGAGTCCTTAAGGACACTTAAGCTGTGCCTCTACATACAAACCAGAGTGAAGGGAAAAAAAAAGCAGCTCTGGTGTCAAAAGAATAAAGACTAAAGCTGGTGCATTCGCTCAGAGATAGTTCACGTTGATTATTCACAGGACCAAGGTGGAGATTTAATTAAAAATAACTTCTGTCGGTCTCATGTATATTAAGTGTTCGCACTGTTTGCACTTTTACAAGTCTCTTAAATCAACTATGGCTACAAAAGGTCTTTAAAGACATTTGTTGGTTAAGAAAATGGTTATAAAATTCTCCCAACAATAAATGTGTTTTGGAGAGAAGCGTCAAGCACTCTGGAAAGTCTTATCCTGCTACAGGGCTCTAGCATTAGCAAAGTGCAAGCTGTCTTCAATTTAATGATTGACAACACTGAAGGCAACTTCTTAATAGGAATATTAGTGAGTCATCTCTTTAATATTTTGGTTAGGTACACGATCTGAAATTTTGCCTCTTATTTTTTTCGTGGTTTCAGGGTAGAATGCACATTCTCTAGAGAAACAATATTAAAAATTATTTACAAAGTGCTTCTCAGAGGAAGGGTGCTATACACTTTCAGAAATTAAAAAAAAAAGGAAGAGCTTACTGGGACCTTTTCGTAACACTGATATGAGACAAAGAAATATTTACCCACTTGACCTTGATATTGAGTTTATTGGATGAAGTTACATTTTAAGAGAATCAATATTTTAATAAGTTGTGTCCACTCTGTATTAATAAGGTTGTGTCTGCTCCACTTGGGTTTCAGAAATAATGCATCCACTAATTTAATCACAGTCAGCAGCAACTTTACTAATTGGTAAACATATACTTAAATTCTCAACTATTTGAGAGTTGCCTTGTAGTAATTTTCAGAAGTACATAAACACATCAATAAAATGCAAATAAGATTAAAAGAAGTCTTCTTCGAATCTTTTCTAAACTAATATCATTTTAGAGAAAGGTCTTAAAGATCCCATAGTGGGTGAACTCTTTATTTAGGTAGTGATTCTAAGACTCCTAGATGTTCCAGATCCCTCTGATAGTCCCAGTGAGTTGAATCCATGGATGTTAGATCGTTAATCCTGAAATGCCAGATTAGTACCCTGAGGTCAGAGAAGTCTGGTGACCTGCTAAGAGTCACACAGTGCTTTTTGCTGGTCTGTACTCTATTTCCTGATTCTGTGAAAACAAACTAACAAATCCCAACTCCTCAACTCTTAAAATGCATACAGCCAGATACATATGGACAGCAAGAGCATGGAGATTTAAAAACAGAGCAGAAAAAAGTAACTTGAACAGAATGTGGCATTTCCCTTGGTCTGTTGCTAGCGGCCCACATACAACATGCTTAAAAAAAAAAAAATCCCACCCGGTACTTCTTTTCATCATCATTTAAAAATGATTCAAATGGACCTTTAGGATGTATGGCTTTGGGCATGTAGCCCATCTGGGGATAAATGGAAAAGAGCTTCACTGAGCAAGGCTGTGTTTTCAGTGGTTGTCAGGCTACAGTTGATGTGTATTCTGTCTCTTGTTGGTCATGCTTTGAAAGCCAAACACAACATTTTAGTTGTATATTTTCAGGACTACAAAGCCAGTAGCATTTAACGTTCCCTTTTGCAAGAAAAATAATTATGGACATGATTTTTAGAATGCCTTAAGGATTTGAAGATGCGAAAGAAACATGTAAAAAGGAATTACCTCTTTTTATTCTGTTTTTTTCCCCAGATTTTTATTTAAATTCTAGTTGGCTAGCACTCTTTTTATTCTTTATTTTCTATTTATTCTTTTTTTTTTTTTTTTTTT